ACGTATATGTATAAATACACGTATATGTATAAATACACGTATATGTATAAATACATGTATATGTATAAATACACGTATATGTATAAATACATGTATATGAATATACAAATAGTCCCTGGCTTATAATAGTTCTACTTCAGAGTTTTCAACTTGATGATGGTGGGAAATTGATACACATTCAGTAGAAACTACACTTCAGATTTTGAATTTTGATCTTTTCTGGGGCTAGTGATATTTGAGATAAATACTCTCTCATGATGCTGAGCAGCAGAGACTGTGAGCTATGGATCCCACTCAGCCACGTGATTGCCAGAGTTAACAATTGATACACTTAAACCATTCTGGACCCGTAAAATAATTCTGGATTTCACTTTTAGTACACTATTTAATAAGTTACATGATATATTCAACACTTTATTATAAAACACCAGGCTTTGTGTTAAACTATTTTGCCTAACCATAGGTGAATATGAGTACTCTGCAAGTTTCGATAGGCTAGGCTAAACTATGCTGTTTGGTAGGTTAGATACATACACACACACATGCATTTATTTATTTATTTATTTATTTATTTTTTAGAGAGAGAGAGAATGAGTGGGAGTGAGACAGAGAGAGAGGGCAACAGAGGATCTGAAGCAGGCTCTGCGCTGACAGCAGTGAGCCACAGACTGAGGTGGGGTTTGAATTCACAAACCATGAGATTATGACTTGAGCCAAAGTTGGACACTCAACTGACTCAGCCACCCACGTGCCCCTGGTAGGTTAGGTATAGTAAATGCATTTTTTATTTACAGAATTTTCAACTTACAATGGGTTTGTCAGAACTTAACCCCATCATAAGTCAAGGAAGATCTGTATAAAAATGTGTGTACCTTTCCACAGGACTTCTAAAATTAAATTGTGAATTCAAGTCTTAATTGTGACATTCATTTTGGATTCTAACCTTCTATTCCCTTATATACATCACAACTTTGCCATAAGGTTTTTCCTCTTACCAATATCATTTTAATTGAAGTTTTGACATTGGATCAGTATCAGATTCTGTGCTATGCTTCAGAAAAAGTTAGCATGTAGTAAATCATAGATAATTTGTCAAGTTATTTATAAATTCAGTTTTTCATGTGAGATTTCACCTAGATGAACATTCTTGTATGTAATAATATTGCCAGACATAAGTGTAGTTATATGCCATTTTCTCTGACATGTGTAAGGAACAAGTGGTGCTTTCACTAGGCAGATTTATTTATTTCTTGTTTATTTATTTATTTTTAGAGAAAGAGAGAGAGGGAGGGGGCAGAGAAAGAGAGAATCTCAAGCAGGCTCTGTGCTATCAGTGCAGAGCCCCACATGGGGCTCACAAACCATGGGATCATGACCTGAGCCAAAATCAAGAGTCATTCGTTTAACCAAATGAACCACATAGGTGCCCCTACTAAGCAGATTTATAAGACCCTGAGAAAGGGACGCAATCAGTAGGCTCTCTACATGGTCATTTAAAAAAATAATTCTACTTACTATGCTGCATTTATTTTTCTTGAATGAAAGGACTCTGATTCTCCATCATGGGTGAGTTGCTTTTGTGTAGTTTGAGGGGGCAAAGAGAGGTTTTCAGTTTTATCAGAAGAGCAGTTCTCATGGGACTGATGAAGACAACTGGTGGTCTTAAATTGATTCAATGTGTCAGCATAAAGTGTGGTGTGATCAGAATGAGGTTCTTATTTGCATAGGAAGAAAGAAAAGTGGTTAACTAAGTAGAAGAAAGATATTTAAGTCAGAAGATGCAGCTTTGAGGGTGGCTACAACCACTTAGTAATAAAGGTCACATGACTCTAAATTTGTTATTTTAGTCTTACTTTCCTTATCTAGATGACCAGAAGTAATATGGTGTCACGGGAAATGTCAACTGTACTTTAGAGCATTAGAAACATAAATTGTTTCTCCCTCTTCTTCAGCCTATCAGTTACTTAAAATACATGGTGCCTTGACATATCTCACCCTGAAAGGTATGAAATGACAGTGATTCCAAACTAATGGGTCTCAACATCTAAGGAAGAGAATGTGTTTGTGTCCATGCAAATAGTAGGGGGTGCAATCAACAGGATCTTTAAAGACCCATATCTGAACAGATTTAAGAGAACTTACTCCAGTTATTATGTTGAAAGATATATTTTCTGTCCACTGACTCAGTTAAGATCATATGTCATCCAATAACCATGGTAGTTTGAAAGAATAATAGAATCTTGAATAAGAAGCTATTAGAATCTTAAAGTTCTTACACTTTGGAGGTAGGAAGGAGTAAGAATCAATATTTGAAATAGAAAATTTAGAATAAGAAGCTGAGAGAGGAACTTGTTCACTTCATTAATGTCTCTGAAATTATTCTTACACATTTCCATGGGCTTATCTCAAGTCACTCATCAGTTCATTGACTATTTACAGACCCAGTCCCTCTCCTGCTCTTTAAGCATGGTACTAACATCTGATATTCTTTCTAACAAAAGCTTTGCCAGAAATATTTTTGTAAATTGCAATGGGGGCAGAAATAAAGTAATTATAAAAATATTACTGTTATTTGGATACAACCTACCAAATATTCCATATGTGTGTGTGTGTGTGTGTGTGTGTGTGTATACTCAAAAAAACTCCAACTAGTTAATTAAGCATAGTCTGTGCAGAGGAGTAAGTATGTACACATCAATAGGCATATGCGCTAGAGCAAAACCTATGGAATGTATCACATTCCAAACAACTGAAGAGCTTCAGTCCAAAGAACTAAAGAGTTTCAAGGAATAATAATTGGCATTCATAAATGTGGACAAAAATAAATCCATATTCACATGTTCAAATTATTAAATCTAGAACACATCTTCCTCTTTCCTAACTGGTTTTTCTTATAACAAATTTCCGACACAGAAGAGAACATTTGTTTCATATTTTATTGAATTTCATTTATATTAAATTAAAAATATATTTCTGACAGATTCATGTAACAAAAAGGCAGAACAGTTTTCAAATTGTTCAGCTGGGATGATCAGTATGGAATGAGGCAAAGCAGGTCGCATTCTATAATTGCCTTGTACAGGTACAATCCTTTCCCAAGAGCCAAGAGAGGATCCTTGAGAACTAACTGAAAAGCCTAATTACAGAAATTTAAAATACTGTTTGTCCCTCATTCTCAAATAACAACAGAAATTGGGGGCAGGAAAGGAGAATGGGGTGAAGGGTTGGTGGAGAAGAAAGAATAAGGGAAATTATACTAAAATATACCTAACATTAAAAAAGTTAGTATGTGTTAAGTGCATAATCCTTCATAGATAAAATAGAAAAAAATCAAAATAACATTACACCACACACAATTGGCATCTCCTATTGTGTAAGCGAGTGCAGAGGTTGAACACATCACAATAGCGCTGAACACAGAATCACAAGTAATGTCAAAATGATAACTTCCAACCAAAAGGAAACAATCACAAGCCAATTACTTATATACAAATCAATCCTAAAGACATTATGTCCCAAATAAAGATGTCCACAAAAAAAAAAAAAAAAATCAAAGCAACATGACCCTTATTTACAATGCAACTAGCCATGTCTTTAACAAGCTATAAAAATACTATTCACATTTTCAAACATACAGTAGTAATTTTTGTTTGTTTATTTCAAAAAGGCAGCTAACTTTGAACACTGGGATTTAAATGAAACATCAATGGCTTACCAGCTAGGTATTTTTGCACCCCTATCCTCTGAAGATACTTCACGAGAGAGAGGGCTTGTTTTCTGTTTACAAGTTAAGAACATAAGGAAATGAATACGAATGTATATAATACCTTAAGCCTCTGCCTTTTCTGTGAAATGTCTCCCTTTATCACCTGAACTGATCTTAGTCAACTACTTGGATGCATGTATGAGATGAGTGTTTGAGAGAAGATTTAACATGACTTATTTTTTTGTGCTATGATTTGTCTTGCAAATTGATCTCACTTCCATTTGATCTTGTTATAATGGTGCCTAAGAAAGAGATGAACAACTAGTCATATACCATGTAAAGATGTAGTTTCGACATGCAGCGATGCAAGTCCCTGGTGCTCACAACAGGAAGTGTAGACACACCAGCCAGTGAGGTGTGCATTCAAAGTTAGCTGCCCTCACACAGCTGCTCAGTTTAATAATCGACCCATTTAACAGCAGTACCAATTTATGCTACATTTTTCAAAGTACCTTACTTTAAAAGAACCACTTACATATCTACATTTAGAAAATAACTTCCATACTTGATTACTGGAGTAATCCCAAAAGGATTCTTGGAGTGCTATGGTGTCATCCCCTCACTCCCCCCCTCCCATCCCCTGAGAGATCCAGAAATATACAGGAAAACGACTCTCACATTAGGGAAAAGGAACAACCCCCATTAACTGAAGAATCTGGAAATGGTATTCAAGAACCAGTTTATGTCAATATATAGGAGGTATGATTTCTTTCAAGAGAGCTGCAGGCCTGGGGGAAACATCACATCAGGGATAAAAAAATAGCAGTAAAGGCAAAGTGGTTTGGACAGGTTAGACTATTACCTACAGGTATGAAACTTTGTTTTCTGATATTTGTGTATTTGTACAAATATAACCACTTCTCATCATATGGGAAAATTCATTAGAGCATTGAAATAAAAATGTCCTTAAAGACTAAAAGTGGAGAAAAAAGTGGCAACTTATTAGACTACATGGATTTTCATTTCAGTGAAACTGCCCTCATTATGTATTTGTCAGATAGATGAATGATCCAATAAGGAATGGCAGGTGGTTCTCAAAGCTGAATAACCTTTACCTGTTTGATAATAAGACTCTTCGTTTGTGAAAAAAAAGTTACAGCAGCTGTAAAACATTTGCGATCAGGAATAAAATAAATATGTAAGGTAAATAAGTTAATTGCTTGCAAAACTAACTTCTCATGTGTAAGTTTTCTATGAAAAGATTAAATCTAAGACCTACCAAGTGTATGTGCACATATGTAAATTTCAAGATTCATCACTGGGCTGACTCGACTCAAGTTTCTGCAGAGAAGGATATAGTAAGAGAATTGGTCTTTATGGGAAAAAATAATTTTAATATCATAAAGCATACTCTGTGCAGTAATCGATTTGAGAAGACATTTAAACAATGTCTGCATTGCTAGAATCTTTTACAGAGAAGTCAGGCATTTGAGGGCAGAGGCTAAGTCAGTATTTCACAAAGCAACATGTGGGACCTAAGAGACCCACTATGGCTTCACAGAGGTACAGCATCAAGAGGGCCACTTTGAATTAAGGTTGTAGACAGGTGAAGAGAACAGAGGTGGCTGTGACAATGCGGAAAGAAGTAAGGGTGGTCTTTTTCTTTAAGGTCTAGAGAGATATTACTTTTTCTGTGTTCCTAACAAGATAATCGCTTACTTGCAAAGCTGTCAAGGAATATTTTCCAACGTAAGCAGGAGACACCCCAAGAGGTTGGGGCTTAGAGTGTTTTCAGCTCATAATTGAAAGAAAAGCATTTTCTTCTGCCCAAAATATCACCTGGCTAGAAAGAGGTGAGGCAGGAGTCTGCAAAAGTGACACATTCTACATTTTTGTACCTCTACAAAATCAGCGGGACTTAAACAGAGTTATCTGATATTTTGACTATTTTCTAGAGACTTTCCTTTTAATGAAAAGAATGAAGCAGCCCATGGTGTTAAAAGCCATCTGTCCATACAAACACAAGGGTTCCTTGACCCAACATCATGCCCACAATAGCTTCATGCTGGCAAGTATGGAGAGAACTACTCTTGCAAAGGCATCTCTGGGATTAGAAAAATTATATTCATTCTACCCAGATGTACAAAAGCTATCCCCACTGTGATATCAGTAAAATCAAGGTCCCACTAATAACTGTTATTTTAAAATCACACCTAACCTACAACTATATAATGTCATTCGTTCTTATGCAAATGGCAATCAGGAGATATGAGTCTGCTTTCAGTGTCTGTATGGACTCAAGGCTGCCCTTCGAAGTCCATATACACAGTTGGAGGAACAGCAGAATTTTCTTGCCTATAGCATATACAGTAGAAGTTAGTTTATCTGGATTTCTCACAACTAGAATTTTATACACCTGGACTTCTTGTCTGCAATATTAAAAATCATTGGTCTAATAACTAGAGTCCAAAATAATGGAACTACAGCAGTTTGAAATGCTTCGTTTAGCATTAGTTATCAAAAATTTGTCAATTAATTGCTTCTTTTTGTTTTTGAAAATGGGAGGGTATCGTGGGAAAAATGGACATTTTACAAATTAAATGTATTTTGTTTGCTTACTAAATGGCACCACTCAGTCTTTGTCTCTGCATAAGGTAATAGAACATTCACATTCCCTTTACTTCATTTTGAAGACCTCTTACTTAAAGTCACGTAACATATTTGCCTGTTAAACTCTGCAAGGTGGTGTTTGCAAAAAAAAATTAAATTTTTTTTCTCTTACACTTAATACAATTAAAAATGGTAAAAGAATAAGAGAATGAGAAAAACATTTAATTGCAACGCTTTAAATCAAGTTTTCACAAGTGGAACCAGCTCTTTATATGCCTACTTTCAGCTAAACCTAACAAATAACAATTTTAAGTGGCAAACTTATACTATGCAAAATCCATCCTACATTTTCATATCCTGCATTTTATTTTGTTACATAATATTCTGTGGTTAGTTTTCTAGTTTGATTTATTTAATAATATTAAAATCATTTATTTTCTGAAAACCTAACTAAATCTACGTCTTACAGCATTATCATGGTTTTGCCCAGTTATATACATGCTCTCATGATCACCTTTTCTATTACCTTATGAACTACATACTAGTTAAATAATCAACATTTATAGATGGATGAATAATTCAAGTTTTGAAATAAAGGTTAGATAGTTCTAGAAAACATGTATTTACATCCTTCCCTGTCGGGCTTAAACAATCTTATTTTTTTTTTCTTTTCACTTTGACACTTCAGAAAGTGAGGGGCACATTGATAGCCCCTCTGACTTCATCTAGCAGCAGAACCTCCCAGTTCTTCTACTGGTTTGTCCTTGGCATTGGGAATATGCATGCTTTCCATGTCACATGCTGCTTTTAGAAGGATTTGATACGTACATTGTAACACTTAGAACACTGTCTCTTCTTTTCTGCATCTCAACATACAAATGTTCAGTCATTCTTCCCGATCTACTAAGGAAGAATCTCTTCTTTTTAGTTTGTACATGTTAATGAGATTTCAGCTTGTATTTTTGTTTTCATTCTCTTTCAAGAATATTACTTGAGAAAGAACCCTCATCCTAACCCATGCCACTAAAATTTGGAAAACCAAATGTTACTCAGCCATCCAAGCACCTCTTTATGGTGCAGGACGCTTTGTGGTTCTGGGTCTAGTCTAGAGAACATCTTTTCTCATTTAAGAATTAAAGAATGGTTCTTTAAGCAACCATTTAGTTGTACAGTGTTTCCTTGACTGTAAATAGGATTCCCCAAGATAGGCTAGGCTACAAAATTTGGTGATTTAAACAAATATAGTCTGTGTAATTTTACTACTAATTTTCTTAATTGGTTTTGCATATTTGCATTGATACAATCAGCTTCTGGTATTTGATATCCTGATGTCCTTTGCAGGCTTCAATTGGCATTTTAAAATTTCATTCTACTGGGTTGAATAAGTTATTGTTTTAGAACAGATAAAACTAGTTTTTTCTTCCTTTCATTCACTCTCAAGTATGTTTTTCTAGGAGACAAAAACAAAACAAAAGAGAAATTCTAAAACAACTGAAATCAAAGATGTACTACAGAAAGCATTCAAAAGAAAAAAAGTTTTTGTGAAGCATTTTGGGTCATCTTGGGTTATACTTGAATCTATTTCTAGTTATTAGTGGTAGACTACCTGATGTGTAAGTGTTTTGTGTTCTCAGAATAGAGACTACATCACTGAATACATTCTATTACCTTCACAGTAAAACATTTATTTTTCTTTCCTTCTCAAAATAAGTGATTCTTTTTTCCATATCCCAGTAAAAATCATATGAATATAGCAAATCAGAAGAAAAAAAAATCAAGTTCTAGTATCCAACAAGGGTGCTGTCAGTCGTAAGTTGTTATAGATTTATCTAGAAAGGGAGGCTTATTTCCAAATGTTCATAAGAACTGATGTGAAGTCCCCTTCCTCTGGAGACTCCTCTAAATGAGTGGGAAAGTTTGAAGATGTTGGGCTTTAGCCCCTGAGTCATTCCGTGTCTTCAGCCCTGAAAAGTTCATGGTTGAACATCACTGGAAGGGTTCTTACAAACCTCTCCCTTGCTCTATTTCACTCTTATAGCTTACCTGATTTCTCATAACTTAGTAAGAAACCAGTTCCAGCACCTCCAAAGTTCTTGGCCAAAGACCAAAAACCTGCTGTTGACTGAGAATCCAGATAGGCCAATTAGCCAGTGAGGCAATATCCTTCTAGACCAGTACGTGTTTGGATGGTAACACTGAAACGGTCGTATTAGTCAACTTCAGTAACTTGTAGGTTGTTTAATTCATGTTTCAAATGGATTCATGGGAGATCTTCTAACAAACAACTGATTTTATGATGACCACTCACAAAATAGTCCATAAAATCTTATTCCTTGGACTTATGGGGAAATTCAAATGTCATTCCAAATAAATCCAGACTTAAAATCATTAAGTTAGGGATAATATTGTATTTATGTTGATGTTCCCCATTTACACAGTGCTTTTAGTAGACTCTAAATAAATATCAGTTGAAAAATAAGGGTGTTGAATGGATGGATTGATTTACTTTTTCAAAACAGGCAGAAACCTAAATCTCTTTCCATTTTTTTCTCTCTCTAAACTCTGTTTTACCAATGGAGATTTTTAGTCTTGTTGCTTTCTTTTTGGTAATATACTTGAATTTGATCCCAACATTTTAACATTGGGAAAAAAAAATAATCCTAATGATTGCCCACACAGATTTTCCTAGAGAGACTACCCAATTTTCCTAACTGTTGACCTTATTAGGTCTCTTGTTCCTGGAGACTCATTCCTACTATTTGTTCACATTGCTCATCTTAACTCAGTAGGTATTCTTTTAAAAAGATACATAAAAAGATGGTTCTAGAAGTAGGATGATGTGTTAGAAGAGAGTGTTATTATACAAAGTATCAAAAGATTAGTATGTTGGATATTAAAATAATTACATGAGAAATTTTTCACCTTTATTTACAACTTTTGACCCAAGAACCTATCTATAAACTGCAAATGTTTGTGTATTTCTTTTTATTATACCAATTTATGTGCAAAGAGTTACCTTCTACTTAATATAAATAGAGTCGCATACTAGAAATTCCATGGAATCAAGCCAATCCTTACTTGCATTCCTTCATGTGGAGTATACAAACTGGATAATTTTCTTTGCGTAGCAAATATGATATCACTTGTAGATAATGTGCTGGACCTCTCACCATATTCTCTTGATACTGTTCCAAAGTCCTAATTTGCTTGGTTTGGCATTTCCACAGTCTTTCCTTATCTTAGCTCTTTTAAAAATGTACTTAAATTAGTTATTTTGCTGGTTGCTTCCATATTGCTTCATTCAAAATCCAAAATGGAGTTCAGAAAGAGAACAAATAAAATTATAGCTTAAGTGCAAACTACATTTCTGAGTTTCTGTCAAGTAGACATACCCAATCCAGTGTGTCTCTTCCAGTTCAATGGATTCCCCATTGGACCACCCCTGAAAGTGTCAGTAGTTTTCATGAACCACACAGAACTGTCTCTTAGTTTCCCTTTAACTCTTTATATTCCAACTGCCTATTGAGTACTGTCATTTATGGAGAAGAAAATGTTGACGAGTGTAGAGGATGTGAGGGGTACATATTCAATAGATTTACATTACATTTGACTAATATCTTGGCCTCCCCTTCTAATTTTAAAGACTATAATATTTAAAATAATGGCCATTCCACCATATTAAAATATTTTTTACAATGCTGTCAATTTATAGCAACACATGAGAAACATTGATGTAAAAATATTTGCAATTAGAAAGTAAAGTCAAAATATAGGAATAAAAGTAATATAAAAGGACAGACCGAAACAAAGCAAAACAAAACCCTCCAAACATAATTACTAGCTATAACTTTGAGAGAGATCTAAAAATTATGGAAGCTGAGTTGGCCATTCTTGCTTGTCAGGATAGAAAGTGTTGAAGAAACAAACTAGATTTTCAATCTCAGTTACTATCATATGTTACAGAAAAGTTTATCCTTTTTTTTCTAATGGAAACTTTATTAGGATTTCCAAAGTTACTGTAAATGTACACATCAGTTCCTGTAGATAGGAACAGATAGCATGGGTCTTTCAAGCATCTGCGTTAAAAGAAAGAAAGAAAGAAAGAAAGAAAGAAAGAAAGAAAGAAAAGAAAGAAAAGAAAGAAAGAAAGAAAGAAAGAAAGAAAGAAAGAAAGAAGAAAGAAAAAGAGACAAAAAAAGGAAAAAGTTGAGAACTAGCTTGACAGCAGGCAGTATTGCCTTATATTTGCTGGTCCTTCCCTAGCTGTTCCAGTCTCCTGACCAACCCATGCAGAGAAATGAAGAAACAGTGTGGTTCCTCCTGTCTTTCTCTTTCAGTTCTTCCTTCTAATGTTCAAGTTAGATGAGCACATGACTATCATTGCATCTCTATATCTTCCACTGGGAAGTGTCAAAACTACTGGCCTTGGGAATAGAAGGAAGACCATAAGAGAAAGAGAGGCGGCAGGGAAATTGGAGCGGGCGTGTCTCTATCTTAAAGCCACCGCTGAGCTTACACCACAGTGTTTCGGTGTCTGTAGGGTGGAGGAGGCAGCACGGTGCCTGGCTTCAGCGAGAACTCAGAGAGGTATTCAGGATTCTCTGCCACAATAGGCCGGATCCGTCCATTTTGTTTATAAAAATATTTTGTGCTGTACTCCTGCAGGTAGTCTGGGTGCTGAAGGGTGCTCCGGGGTGGCAGGCTGTGGTTCCAGTAGTCAGGGTTGTCGAATGCTTTCTTGGCCTTCTCTGGCACAGACAGTACATTGTTCTTCAGGTACCCGGCATTCCCCAATGCGTTGGCAAAGGTGTTGAGGTATAGTGGCTCATTCACATACTCATCCTCTGCCTTGGGAGGACCGTTGGAAGCATTGTGATATTCGGGATTATCCAAAGCTTGAAGGTCTCCATTTTTTCTCCGAGAAACAAAAGGGTTTTCTTCCACAGGGTTCAGGTATTCTGATGGAATACAAAAATATCAGTTAATATCCACTTTCTGGAAAATGTTTATATAGGATGGTTAGCTTCTTGTTCCAGAACAATGAAGCCACAGATTTGTCTTCATGAATTCTCAAGAAAACTATTTTGTTGATTACCTATGTTGATTGCTTGGTTGATTACTTGTGTCATATGAAAAAAGAGTAAGTGGGCCAAAACTCTTAGTGACTAAATAAGGCACCGCAGGCCAGAAGCAGAGTTCCTGTCCCCTAAATTGTTCCTTTTTTTTCCCAATTGTATTTTTTATCTCCTATATATGGGGCCACTTGTTTAAATGCTTCTGTTTTCTAAAAGTCGGCATTCTTTTTTTTTTTTTTATTTTTTTTTTCAACGTTTATTTATTTTTGGGACAGAGAGAGACAGAGCATGAACGGGGGAGGGTCAGAGAGAGAGGGAGACACAGAATCGGAAACAGGCTCCAGGCTCTGAGCCATCAGCCTAGAGCCCGACGCGGGGCTCGAACTCACGGACCGCGAGATCGTGACCTGGCTGAGGTCGGACGCTTAACCGACTGCGCCACCCAGGCGCCCCGAAAAGTCGGCATTCTTTTTGTTGGAAAACAAGACAATCTATCAGGGTTAAATAGCTTTTAAATGCGAAGAAATTTGAATTTTTAAAAGGATATTGAAAAATCAAAATGTCTATAGCTTAACTCCATGCTAAGATGAATGGATGAAGTGAAGGAATAGCAGTTTTTAGTCTGTGTGGTTTGCTGTGATGCTCATATAGGTAAAATAGATTTGATTACAGATGTTTCATAGAAAGCCTGATGCATAGGAAAAGAAACATCTAAGGAAAAGACTCAACTGATAAAAATACCTGATGGACATCTAACATCATTAAATTGGCATGCCTTACATATGTTTAAGACTACATATGCTTAAGAATAAAGTATAATTATACCATTTACTTCCAAGGGCTGACCATCATCACAAAATAGCAAACTATTAGTTTGAATCATATGAAATGACTGTTTTGTAGGTGGAAACCAGTCACAGAGTGGCTATATTGTATGATTCCATCTAATAAATCAATATGAAATAGGAATTGACACAGAATTTTTTTAAAGGTTGTTAACCAATACTTTTCCCCTTAAATTTAATTCCACCTCTGTGTATATAGTATACACATCTACATAGAGTAGACCCACTTTTTGTCCTCTCTTTTCACTGTATCCACAGAAATGACACTTTACCTATTCCTATTTTGGTGTTGGGCCAGGAAAAGGGCACAATTGTTGAGATGCCATCATTCTGAAACAAATTTTCTACCCTCTATACTTAGCTTGACAAGTAGAGAAAAACAAATCATCAATTCAGGGTTATTTTTCCCTGGATAAAGGACTGCTGGATATGGTTAAGTATTTAACATCCTGTGCAAGTTAAAAGATAGTAATGACTAGCCCACAATCATATACAGAAATTACAGGAACTAACATCATCCTCACAGCAATCCTATGAGCAAGGAAGACAAGCTGTAGCTTTTCAGTTTTATAAACAGGAAACTGAGATTAAAAGATGTATTAAGGATACAACTAGTATTGAACTAGATAGAATTCAGATCTAAAACTCCTATTGAACAATCTCATTCTACTGAACTGTTTTCATTATTGTCCCTAAAGAAGTAGGGAGAACTTTTCACTTCACAACATGTTGGAATTTGAATGGTTCTCAAAGCAACTGTCATTTTAAGAACAATGTATGTAAAAACTTACACAGGAGGCAGAATTTGATTTTCCCTACCAGATTCCTGAAAGCGGAGGAGTGTCTGTCTATACTAAAATTCTTTAGTCTCTGAGAAGCAGGCTGGAGTACAAAAATCTTTTATGGAAACTTGTATTCAGAGACAAAATCTAGGGAGGCTCTACATTGAGTCTATATTGACTGGTTTGTGTTTTCTTAGAAAGTTCATGTTACTTTACACCAATGGAATCTACTTATGTATTGTCCTGATGCAAACTTGCATAGCCATGTAGCTATAAATGGAGAAACAACTCTATGGTTGAGCTCAGGATCTTCCCAGAGAGTATTCTACTTTTGGGGGAATCTGCCAAATCTTCTCGAAACCTACGTGTGTGTCACTACTATCTTACATACATCTAGATAGATAAACTTTAGTAGGTTATTTACAGTTTGAACTTAGGGATCCCTTAGTTGCATTTTATAAAAGTGAATATAACCATATAATCAGGAACATAATGGACCCTTGTAGAGAGTCTTAAAGTTTACTTGACACCAAAGACTCTAGGACACAGTAATCAGTTTTAAATAACAATCATCCATCTTCTCCTTTTGTGATGCTGTTTAACATGGAAGGAGAGTGGCTTTTTCAAAAGTGAAATGTCACTTGATTTGGATGTCTAACATTTCTACTACCAGCTCTGTAAAGTTATCACTGTACTTTGTAGAACCACAAACTGAATATTTTCAAGACATGATGGTAGACATACAAGTAAACACAGTGTCAGAACTTTAACATTTGAAATGTGTCATACGTCATACAAGAAATCATAATATTCTATAATGAACAAAGTCATTCTGATGACACAAAATTTTAAAGAATTGACCAAATATTTTATTGGTGCCATGAAAATACCAGTCTTTATGATCTCCAATATGAGTCCAATAAAGTAATGGTTGTGAAATCTTGTGATATGTTACCTCACTCAAATATTTCAATAAAGATATGTTTAGATCAGTGCTTCTCAAGCTTGATTATGTATAAAAGTCACATAGGGATCTTGTTAAAATGCAGATTTCTATTCAGGTGGTGTCTGAGATTTTGATTTCTAAAAAATCAGAATGCAATTCTAGATGTTGTAAATGCTATGGATTTGGATAGCATACTACATAGAGCAGCACCTTAGGCCTTCTCTGGGTCACAAATGTTACCCAGTCCGGTGGTTTGTCAATTTCCCTTCTATACTTTGCTTATTTTGATGGGAGTGAATTTTGAATGGCAATCATTTCTGAACATTCTGTTTGTACCTTGTTTAGGTTTATCTCGCATAGGAGTCATGTAACCTTCTTCATCCAGCTCTCCTCGTGGGCTCCGTTCTGGGGCAAACACCGTGGGGTCAGCGCTGTACCTCTGGGTGCTGCTATCCTCTGGAACATGGGGTGCCACTGGCTTGCGTAGGGTGCCGTTGCAGCAGGAGTCATCAAAAATCTCGGCTGTAGCCCCCTGAGCAACTGGAGCTTCTGGGATTGTGCTGGTCGTGGCTCTGTACGGCACAGGCACTCCTTGCTCTGCAGCAAACCCCCCGTCTCGGTATACAAACTGGTTCTGTCAATAGGAGAGACACATTTGGATGGAAGTTAGTATTAGGAATAGTTGTAAAAAAAAAACAACCCAAAGGATATGATATCTTGTCTTTTAGATAAAAGTCAGAGCGTCTTAATTGAGTTTTTTCCCTGAATGGCTAACAAGCTTGGGTTACAAACACCTAAAATTCCAATTTGGTTTTTAAAGTAAATCATGGGGAAACAATTTGGAAATAAATATTTAAATTTTACTGACCACCTAGCACATGGCCTAATAAAAAGTGTCTCATATTATTTCCCTACAGTTGCCAATTTTTTATATAAAATTCGTATTTCGTGACATGGAAATGCTATTGATTGTAGACAGTCGCCATTAAGAACAGAAGCACAGTGATGCCATTTGGATGATGATATGTCCTTATTGCCTTCTCTTCTGTGGTCATTCTGACTTTGAGTCTCCAAGTACCTAACTAGAGAATCTTCATGGAGACTCTGACTTTTTCGCACACAACCTGTAATCATGGGGGGAATAAAAGGTAACCTCCTCAACCGGAAGCATAATTATGAGTCCAGGTAAATCCCTCAGGTAAAAATCAAAAGCTACTGTTGATGCATGATATCTCAACTTTGGATTATCTCCTGAGATAAAACATATCCACAAAGCCCAGCTATATAATCTACAGCAAATTATGAACTCACTGTTGGCAAAAGCAAAATGAGGAAATTATGGAGAGACAAGAGAGAAGAAACATGATAAGCGAAGACCAAAAATACAAAAAAGATGAAGGTTGATTGTGAAATACTTACTCCTGACATGGGGGTGTAGGCAGGAGGAGGGCTGTGTCCAATTTCACTCTAATAGGAAAGAAAAATGGAATGATGGATATAATAAGAGGTAATATGAATGAAAAGAAAAAAAAAAGCCGCATGAGTTGTATGAACCAAAGAGGAAAACATGCACAACAGTGAAGTTTGCTAAATGGTAAAATTTTTATGCATCCTGACTACACGTGAGTCTATTTATGTGTTTTGAGAATGTGAAATATTTTAATTCAATCCCTGAATAAAATATACAGAAAAAGTGAAATTTTTAAATGGATTAAAAACTAAGTTGACCATGAATATTTTTCTGATTAACCCTAGAAGAAAGATAAAGACAGTAAATAATTAAATATAATTTTAAATAAAGAACCATTTCCTTCCTTACATGTTATATGACTGAAATGGCCACATGCCACAGCACTGGTTTTCCCTTGTAAAAAGAAACTTATCTAGAAGGAGATAAAAGCAAATTTCAATTTTCCTTGAATGATTTTTACTATCAAGTTACATTTGTTTTTCACCATTTCAGCAAAGGGTCAACTTCTTAGTCTTTCCTTTAAAAAGGTGCGTACTATCAAACCATAAGAGATTCTTAAATACAGAGAACAAACTGAGGGTTGCTAGAGGGGAGGTGGGTGGGGGGATGGGCTAAATGGGTGATGGGCATTAAGGAGGGCACTTGTTGGAATGAGCACTGGGTGTTATATGAAAGTGATGAATCACTAGCTTCTACTCCTGAAACCAATACTACAAGGTATGTTAACTAACTTGAATTTAAATAAATTAATTAAAAAACTAAAAAAGGTACACCTATTTTCTCTTCAAATAGTCTTATTTTTTTGTAAGTTAAAAAAAAAAAAGGAAGGAAATCTTGGAAAATTAATTCCTTTCGTGGAAATATGCTTTATATATATTATTTTCATGTATTTAGAATCCGTTAAAATTAGATTTCATTTAAAAAAAAAAAGGTATCTGGGGCTCCTGGGTGGCTCAGTTGGTTAAGCATCCTACTTCAGTTCAGGTTATGATCTCATGGTTGATGGGTTCGAGACCCACATTGGACTCTGTGCTGACAGCTCATAACCTGAAGCTTGCTTCAGATTTTGTGTCTCCCTCTCTGTCTCTGCTTCTTCCCCGTTCATGCTCTCTGTCTGTCTGTCTCTCTCTCAAAAAATAAATAAACATTAAAATAAGAGCATCTGTATTCTTATAACTTAATACTCCATCCTATGGGTTAAAAAAAGTGGATACAAGAATATGATAAAATATTAAGGACAATATTCCTTGGGATAAATAGAGCAGGTTATGTGAATATCAACACTGTTTCTTAATATACATATCCATTAAATACAATTTTTGAGAACCTTAGTCTACTAAGCCAGGCCCTTTTCTAGACACTGGAGATCATAAATAATTCAGGTAAAAACAACTGATGTTATGAAGCTTGCATTTTCTGCATACATGTATGAAACTTGGCTAAGTATTATTCCAGGCCAATGTTTTTACAATTTAGAGGTTCATAAAACATTCTAAGCAGAATGTGGTTCCATGGAGATTAACTGTTTAATGTAAATTAATAACAACTGGATAACACAATTTCCTATAATTAACTGGACTAATCAAGGGACAAGGTCTGAACTCCTACATGAAGTTTACATTTCAACTCTCCCCATAACTGAGTCATCTGCATGATGGCGTAGAAAATACTAATCTCTTTCCTTCTCTCATGACATAACTAGGAACGTATTGAAGATCATGATGCGGAAAAGTAGAGATATATTTAACATGCTATACATAGGAGGTAGTATTGTCTAGTAGACACATTGTTTTATGATTTGTTAGATATTTTAGCCCCAGTCCTAGTTACAAGTGTTGTGATAAGTCAAGAAACATCTCAGACCCTCATTTTTATCCTTGTCCTCTGTCTTACTCTTAGTGAATACAAAGAAAAATGGTATATATAAGTGAACTTTGTAAGCTCTGCACTACTAAGCAAATAAAGAGGATATAAAAAAATTAAATATTCACATATGCTAAATCAGATTTTTAAAGTCAAGCAATCAAAATGCCAGAGCTACTCATCAAAGACACATTTAAAAATGTTTACCTGTTCTCTACATCACCTTAAATACAGGTATATTTTGTTATCCTTTAGAAATGAAGCTAAATACATTTGCTCGTAAAATTTGGGAGGAATTTGCTGCCAGTGATATGCAAAACAGAGGGATGGTATGGGAAAAATACGGCAACTGCCTAGTGGAACTTTATCGTATCTTCAACCTTGGTCTTGTCCTATCATTCAACCCCGATTATTGAGCAAGCATTTAATGAATATGCTGGAGATACCATTAGGCATCAGGAGAGACATGACCACTGGCCTTTTGCAATTTACACTGAATGATCAAATATTACCTGAGATTATTAGAAGAAAAGACAAGAGTAAAATGAAACTGCGGTGAATTTATTTGAATTCTAAGATTACATATTAGAAGAAAGGTATTCCAAAATATTAGTAATTACTGCTGTTCCTTTGGCCTCTAACCTTCCAACAATTGCTGTACTGGTTTGTGTTTGACTAGAATCACAGCTTAGGAAACAGCACTGACTGCTGTACATTTTGCATTTTATAAAACTTGAGGGATAGATGATCAAAGGAACAAGTTACAAGTCATTCTTCATCAGGAAATACTTTATTATATATATTCATTACGTGAGCTGGACTGCCTTCAATTGTAAAGATGCTGTGTTAAAAATAACTAGATCTGTTGAAGAGAGGCCATGCCATATTAGAATGCAGGCACTGTCCCTGCTTTGACAAGTCTTTCCGTCAGCAACCTGCCAAATCTATATCTGGACACACTGCCAGATACCATCACAGTAATAGGAGTGTCTTCATGCTTTTCCTAGTTTTCTGCATTAAAATGGAAAAAAATGCTAGGCAAAGTCCCTTAAGCATTCATTGTTTTTAGGGTTACTGGCTGCTTTTTATTTTTCTGTTTTCATTTTTTTCATTTGCTTTTTTTTTTCTTTTCTGTTTTCCATGATAAAAAGCACCTCATTCATTTCCCCCTGGAAGGGCAATGCAGCTACAAGGGAACATCTGTGAGGCCAATTAGCTGGGCTGGAAATGTGATATAATTGTTGTTTAAATATATTTAAATTACATGTTAATCACTATGTCATAATTTATAGGCTTTGAAAATAACTTTTTGTACTTGAGAGCCAAGCCAGATTTTACTTGTTTTTGCTGTTTTTAGTTTATAACAAGCTCTTCTCATTTCCCGCCCCTCTCCCCCCAATTCCCCGCACTTGAAGAGCTAAACTTTTAATATTGGAAAGAATGACAGCTGCAAGTAAATTGGTGGAGTAAAAATTAAGATCCCCATAGTCAGAACGAGCTGGAGTGACCTTAAAGTTTTAAGCAGAACAAAGCAGTGCTCTCAGTTTAAAGGCTTTTGTTTTCTCATTGTTCCACTTTCTGCTGTCCATCAAAGCCCAGCTTTGTGGATCTTCTGGAAATACTGGGTGCATCTGTTCAATTAGCTAGTGAGGGGATTTACTGTCAGCAGGACAGAGATAGAAAGACGTTAGTTATAAACTGGCAGGTGATAGGGAGTTTGTTTCTGGTGGGGGGATTTGTAAGGGTGATAGAGAGTCAAGTTTAATTTTGTGGCCCTGTCACTGGGACATTGTATGATTAACTTGGACTGAAATGCCAGAGGTTATAGAGAAGGCAAACATCAGCAAATGTATCAAATACAGTGTTCAATGCACTTTACATACATCATGTCCTGAAATTATCTTTCATTTGAATTATAAAAATGCAAAACTTTGTCTTATTACATGCACTGTATTTCTCATATTTATTGTGTTCATTAAAACATTATATTGTTAAATATTATCCCTGGGAAATTTTAAACCAGATGGATTTCCTCTTTAATATTTTTTTAAAAATACGATACAAATCTATGTTCTTAGGAAACTAACAAAAATACATACTTAATGACTAACTTCTACCTGAATTAAACATGCACTTAGGGGCGCCTGGGTGGCTCAGTCGGTTGACTGTCCGACTTCGGCTCAGGTCATGATCTCACAACTCATGAGTTCGAGCCCCGCGTCAGGCTCTGTGCTGACAGCTCAGAGCCTGGATCCTGCTTCAGATTCTGTGCCTCCCTCTCGCTCTGCCCCAACCTGTTCACATTCTGTCTCTGTCTCTCTCAAAAATAAATAAACATTAAAAAAAATTAAAAAAAAACCATGTACTTAATGAGAGTTTTGTTTGGTTTTTTAACTTCAGATAATTGTTCCTATCAATATTAACTATAGGATTAAAGTTTCTAGGGCCAAGAAATACGCTAAATCCTTTTAACTAAAACAGAGTGTGTCTCTGTAAGATGTTACCAATTCATCAGCACTAATTTGTTACCAAAGCACTTCCACATGTAACTATTAAGGATTCTCAATCTTTTATCCTCCTTGTCACATATTCATAACACTCTGATGGGCATTTTCACATTTTTACAGGTCAGGTAGTAGACAAATAAAATGGTTTTTGCATTATGTACGATTTCTGATATATGGGTGTAACATATATTTTTTTCACAACTGAGTTCAACATACAGAGTTTGAGACATCTATTTAGAATCTTCATTTTTCATAAAGCTGGAATCCAGAAGAAAGCAAACAAAATGTGTCCATAGACAAAAAGCCAGTAAGAACTGAGAGAAACCAAACAAATCTAGGCAGCTGGCTCACACACACACACACACACACAGGCACACACACATATGTATATATAAATCACACAAAACATCTTTTGTCTATTTATGTTATGTGTTTATTGGCTAATGGACTCATCTACCTTCTTGGTTTGATTCTGTGAGATGCTGCTTTTTGGATCCAGGAGTAGAAACTTCCAGTTAGAAAATAAAGTCATGGGATGTAACATACGGCATGGAGAAAATAGTCAATAATACCATATTAACTTTGTAAGGTCACAGATGGTAACTACAATTTATTGTGCTGCTCAT